AACATTTTCAAGATTGTAGCGGAAGAAACATACCGTTATTTTGTCCAGTTCCCGATTCAATTTTGAAAGTGAGAACCCTTTCATCCCTGCTGATTTAAAGACTGATCTGCACATCCTAGGACAGTCTACATGGACGTCTACAACATCTTGTCTGAACTCCAATCTCAACTTGGGAATTGCCTCAAAAGCAAGCAACTATATACCAATCATGTACAAACACTTAACACAATAATATTAACAAATGATAAGGTGATTATCTTCAATTGCTTACCTCCAGTGGCAGACAGAAACCTGGAAGTGGCCATAAAGTCTTCTCTTTAACCCAACCTCCAAAATGATCCATGGTGTGCGATATCTCCTTAACCATGTAATCAGACGAGTACCTCCCCCATGGAAAGTTTTCGCAGAACTCGAGATCGTCCACAGCTCTTTGGAAGAATTCCAAAACATCTTTGGCGCCTTTTCCTACTTTCGTTTGCGCACAGATAACACTTCCTAAAAAGAACAAAACCATCATCTTCAGCCGGTCTCTGTGTTCTCCCATAGCCAACAGCTTCGCTTTGACATCCTCAAGCCTTATTGATTCTCCCTTCTTGAAATGGCNTCAAAGCGTGTTCTCTCAGGCCATAGCGGATGGGAACACCATTCACAATGAACCACACTTCCTTCCTCTTCGAGCTATCCACTGTCCGCAATAGCAACATCCACATTCCTTGGACCATGTGGTTTGAGTCCTTCTCCATGTGGAACACGTGAGAGAATTGTGGATGCTCCTCAAACCACTTCCTCTCAGTATTACTCATCGGCGGTTCCAGATTGTCAAATGTAACCATAACGTCATTGACGAAACATTTGGTCGCTATCTTTATCTGTTTCTTGTACTCCGACTCATAGAAGTACATCCTCAACGGTTTGATTGCCTCGGTTGCCTCTAATTCCTGCAAGTAACATTGTGTTCTATATCAGTTATGCAGATACTAAAACATAGTTCTCCTAAGTTATCCGAGCCTTTCCTAGTATATTTAGTTAAACCCTATTCAAGTTCCACACTTATTACCTCTTCTCCTTGCCCGACAACCCCTTGACCATCACCATCAACATTTCCAGATTCCACTTCCAATGGAGGTTCCTTCTCTCCTTCTTCTCTGGTATCTTCCTCCTCTTGTATTTCTTCTACTTCTTCATCGCTATTTCCTTCTTCCTCTTCATCTTTGTCTCCATTTTCTTCTTTCTCTTCTTGAGATCCGTCGCTATTTCCTTCTTCCTCTTCATCTTCGTCTCCATTTTCTTCTTCCCTTTCTTTCTCCTTCTCCGATTCTTCTTTCTCTTTCTCCCGATCTTCTACATCCTTAGCCGGTTCTTCTACTTCATTCTCCTCCGCAACTCCCACGGTTCCAACAAAATCAACCGCCGGTGATTCCTCATCCGTCGTTTTTCTCTTCTTCGAACTCTTCTTCGGTTTGTTCTTCTTCGAGTTCTTCGAGGTCCCGCTCTTTTGCGGAGGAGGATCCGTTGGAGGAGGCCTATCATTTCTCTTATCCAGCCTAGTTTCAACCATGATTCACACGTTTTCGGTGAATAATCGAAGGGAAATCGAAGGAATCGAAGTGGGATGTTCTAGGGTTACGTTTCGAATTTGGGAATTTAGGGGAAACCGTTGAGGGGATTGGGGTTATTTGGATTCGGGTTCGAGATGGTTAAAATCGAGATTGGATCGAGATGGTTTAAGTTGGATTGGGGACGATTAACATTGAGTGGTTATTTGGATTCGGGTTTCGTTCGTATTTCAATTCGATTCGGTTTTCCCTCTGGTTAAACTTGGTAAAACCCGTAAATAGTTTACCTTCCTTGGGGTTAACTGTAAATTTCAGCAATTTGCCATTTTATATTTTTTTCCTTTTTGTTTCATGTCTTTCGAAGATTGATTGAGGAGGAGGGTGGGTATAGGAGATGATGTCCCGTGAGTCAATGAGAACTCACAGATAATGAACATGTCTGAACATTATTGTAAAGAATGAATCAGAATTGATTACAATTTCTATTTCAGAACCGTGGTGATTGACTAAACTTACTCGAATATCTTCTCCACCCACGGACGTAGCAGAACTTTGATGAAACACACCTATGGTTAATTCCTTTGTCACTGATTTAGGACTCCATGTAACTTGTGTATTAATACTCAAGGTTAATCGAGATTTGTTCTAATTCAGTGACCCGAATTTCACCAAGTGTTCAAGGTATACGATTTCATTCTATACTCATCAAGATTACAGGTATAAAAAAAACGAAATCAAAGAGAATAAACCCATGTAATAGAAATTCATATTATAAAGCAATATGAGTTTCAAAATAAATATATCACCTCTGTTTTCAGGTACTGATCGGAATCGACCCACTGAATGAAGAGATCCGATGGAGAATTCAAAGAATATTAACCCATGTACAGTATAACCTCTTTAAATTAATATAAACTAAAAATCTCTATAAAATAATATAATTTTATAGTCTCAAATTGAATTTTTTGGTTTAATTAGTATATCAATAAATTAATAATCTCTATAACTTAATAAAAAAAATTACAGTTTTAATGTATAGTCACAACATTATTAATTTATAGAGGTTTCACTATAGTAAAAATTGATCGGAAGCAGTTGACCAGTGCGTTCGAAGTGATATATCATCTTCACTAAGAGCCGGATTTAATCGACGAATTTGGAGGATCTTATTTAGGTTAAAGAGAAGACATCCGATCACCGACAACAATCCCACTTTTCTAAACTAATAAAATTTGTTAGATAAAGAAACATTTTTTTTTCCAGAGAAAATCTGTTATCATATTGTGTTTATAGAAAAATTATATTGAGCTTTCAATTATTCAATTTAAAGAATATTTGGCCCACTGGATTTATATTTTAAAGAATACTTGACCCATATGTATACTATTTAACTTTTTAATGTCTTAATATTTAAAATTAGATAATTCATTTAAAAAATATATAATATGTTTAATTAAATTATTTATAAATTTTATACACGAAGCTTTAAGTTTAATTTTATGTTAATTTTCTTATTTTGTGAAATGTTTGATTATCTTTGGACATGATAAAATTTTAATATTATCCAAATTATATTTCTATTTTTTTATTCAATAATGAAATACTAATCCAACAAACAAAAAATATATATGAGAACAAATAAGTACATGTGAAATTTGAAATAATCTATTTGCTGGAGAATAGATATACTCTAATTTATTATGTTTGAAAAACCTTAAATATACTCTATAATATAAATCTATGAAGCTAATAGTTTAATTTTATAAAACTTTTAATTTTGAAATATTACAATATCTTTAGAGATGACAATAGAACAATATTTTAACAATCTTTATATATAACTACGAGCTAAAAATTAAAATAGCAATCCAAATATATATATATATATATATATATTTATTTATTTATTTATACAAGAAGATACAAATACATGTTAAAGTTTGAAATAATTTATACAAAAAAAACTGGCAGTAAAATTATTATGTTTAAAAGTGATAGACAAATATAGCAATAGAGAATTGAAAACAGAAAAAACTATATAAAAATAAATGGAATAAATATCCGTGTAACCGCGTGGATCTAAATCTAAATTTAGTTTTTAATTAAGAAAATAATTGAGTTATTCATTAACGCATAAGATTGAGATGGAGTGAGCTGATTTTAGTTTCATTTGGTTTTGGTAGAACGATTGGCCTAAAAGACTTATTAGAAAAAGGGAAAATTGGGAAATAAAGACATTTTGAACTAGGATTTGGGAAAGTAGGATTTTTAGAATATTATTTAGTTAAGTAGGATTTATATTCTTTTAAATACCATTATACCCTTTAATTTACATAATTAAAATTCAATTTTGTAATATATATATATATAAATTAAAGTAAAAAAAAAAGAAACGTGGAAGGAGATAAAACGGTGTGTTTTACATCTACCCTAATTTTCACGTTTCTCTCCTCTTCGCTGAAAGCTTCTACTCCTTTCAATGGTGATAATGGCGATTTAGGATTAGTCGTATTTCTTACTTATTTTTTTCATCGAATTTTGGCTCTCTAATCTTGTTTTCTTGTGCATTATCTTTGTTCTCAGACACAAATGGAATAGATTTGTTATTCCTTTGGACAATTTTCTTCTTTGGACAATCTTCTTTGTGTACAAATATTTTTAAAGGGTTGATTCACACTCTGTGTTAAGGTTCTCATCAAAATCTCACTAGGTTTGCGATCACTTCTTTTGAATTTTTTAACCCTTGATTTGTTAAACCCGATTTAGTTTATTTGTTAAACTACAATTAATTGTATAGATTGATTAAGCTTATTATCGACTGGCATGCATGTTAAAAAAAGCTATGCTATTAAACAAATCAAACCATTAATATAGAGATAAAAATTAGAGATAATGATAACTTACATATTGTAAAGTGTATTGTTATCACAGCCTCAATAGTATTTTTACTGTATTTGAAAACTTTGTATAGTATCACAATCCCAATAGTACTTTTACTGTATGTAACTTGGATAGAATAGCATATACATCAAAGGATTATAGCAAAAGTTCACACATTTTCCAACAAAAAAAATATTAAAATAACCACTCCTTATGAACCTGCCCCTCTGGAATTCTCCGTCGTGAACCTTTCTATGGGGTGTTCATCACTATAGCGCGGACCCTACGACATATGGCAGCCCACAATTGGGCGATTTTTTTTTTTTTTAAATTGAAAAGAAAAAGAAAAAAATTTAATATTAAAAAAATTAAAACTTGAACCCAAGAGGAGGTTCATTGATGCACATGCTCTAATTGACATGGAATGTAAGTCTACCCTGCAACAAAAAAAAAACACAAATGGATTCAGGTTATGATACACTAAATGCACATAAATTTGTTTCACTAGTCCGGCAAAAACAAATAGAATCAAAATATAATATAATATAATAAGATAGTATATTATTACAAACCAAAATCATAACCATCATCTTCCTCTTCCACTTGGTCTTCATAGAAATTCTCATCTGTGTTCATCTCGTATGGTTCTTCCTCATCCTCTTCTTCTTCCTCTTCTTCAATTTCATCCTCCTTCTTCTTCTCTGTAACTGTCTCGGTTCTCGATTTCTTTGGGGACTTCTCACCTGGCTGAAGAAAAAAGAAGAAAATTGTATAGACTTGAAATTGATGAGAACTAAGGAAACAAGAAGACAGATAATAAAACTTACGGAAGGATCTACGAGCTCGGCAAAACGGGAAGGATCTAAAACCTCTTTCATAAGATCGAAGTCAATGTGCCTACTTAAATCCTGTATTAAGAGTTCAAGACTCAAAATCAGAAAGAAACACGAGAAAACCTCAAAACGAAAGATATATATTTTTGTCACCTTTCTTCTCTCAAACGTTCTTTTAAAAGCTTCAAAAGCCGTGGACGCGGGAGGCGCGTTCTTATCTTCCTCTGCACGTTTTTGTCGCTTTTCCTTTCTAGATTTCGCCACAGCTGCTTTAGAAGCTTCAACAAGATTTCTTGCGTATTGTGGGCAATTAGCACTGCTTGCGTTGAAAGCTTCACTAACCTCCTTCAGAGCTGCTTCCTTAGCTGCTTGCTCCTACAAAAACAAAATTCTAATTTGGTAAAGATTCTAACAATTTAGAGAGAAGATAAATGATTATATCCTATCACCTTAAGCCACTCTGCGTTAAGAAATTCCCAAGAGGCCTTCACCGCTGGCTTTTCGTCCTCGTCAAGAAAACAGCAATCCACCTGAAATAGTATATGACCAACCATCAATATGTACAAGTGAAAACTGTTGTAAGGAAAATAGACTGAAGATATTTTGTTTCTATTTCATGTCCCCTCTTCAGAAATGAAACATTCTACTTAGAATCTAATACCAACACAAAGGAGCAAAATTATTATTGCCCACCTCAGGATCACCATCGAGGTCAGAAAGATTGTCTGATTCATCAGAAGCTTCAGCGTTCCAATATGTTTCTCCTCCTTCACTTTTCTCTGAGAGACAGACAGCACACACAAAATTCTCAAGAGCTCTCAAACAAACAAACAAAAAAACTTTAATCTGTTTCGATAGTTGTCTAAGCTTTACCAATTCCTCCCTCGTTGTCTTCTCTACCTGCTTTTTCCATTCTCTCTTTCTCTGCTCGCTGGAAAGCAGGAGGATCCGACCCACCAACAAGTCCTCCAGAAACTTTCATGAACTGCCGAAAAAAATATATTTGTAAAAGAAAAGCATCTGATTGTCAACTCTCAGGAGCCGTTTATCGCCAGTTTCATAAGGTTTAAAAAAGTGGAAAGAGACGAGAAGTGTGGAGACTTACCTTATCGTGACAGTCCTTACATAATCCATAACCAAAACTTTTTGAATCCTTATGCTTACAGTTGACTACTTCTTTGTCGGAATTTGGTCTTGTATGCAATATCTCTCTATCAGCGAGCTCCTCAACCTAGCCAAGCATGTACAACAATTGAAAAAAACAATCAACTTTAAAAAAAAAACAAGTAATATGTGGCAAATAATTTTGCATAACGATTAGCGAATAACTCTACAACTAGAAACGATTTGTCAACATATCCTGCAAATGAATGAACTCACAGTTAAACTTGCAGCTTCGGTATTAGCAAACTCATTCAATCTTTTGGTTATTGTTGCTCCACACATATGCACAATGTGTGCCTGAGAAACACACATAAATATCGAAACATCATCACTAACTATTAATCTTATAACAAATATCATTCGCTAAATCAGATTCTTACAATATCTGTCGTCGAGCACGTGATACCAAGAGAATGGGCAGCTATGTAAATTGCTGCTCCACATATTCCACTTGGTTTCCGGCCGGTCTGCAAACCAGAAAAATAACAACTCTTAGGACAAAGAACATGTAAGTATGGTAGCTATAAATTAAAAAAAAAAGAGGAGTCGAGTCACACCTGTATCCAATCTCTCTTCATACTATCTATAATGTTCATAGCCGTTTCCACGACCTTTTTTGTTGTTGCATAGTCATGTGCACCTTTCAATAAGCCTGCAAGTGTGTGTATGATGAAACAAGAAGTCGATATTTGACTATATTCACACCAACTAATTTTTTAAAAAAAAAGAGAGAGCTAAAAGACAGACATACTTACTCTTTGTGAATCGACAAATGAAGATTGAAGGATCAACAAGCTCCTCAAGGTCCTCAAGGTTCGGGTTATTCACCAAATAGAACAGTTCACAGAGTTGCAAGTACACAGAACCCAACTCGTAACTAGACAAAAAAGTTTGAAATGAAACCATTACTCAGTAGACAAAACTAACAGGTCAAACATAGGGGAATGAAAAAAATTCCTCAACTTACACGCAAACTCGAAGGTAGCTTGAAAAATCAATAAGAAGAACCGCAAGTTTTTTTTTTCCTGCAGTTTCGGTCAAAAAATGGAAAAATTATAACTGAGGGAGAGAAATCTGTAATAAGAATCCAACCTGCAAGCCAAGTAGAGACAGGAAGAGAGTACTAGTTCAGATCTGCGCCCTCTGGTGAAGTTTTGGTCAGCTGCCATCTTGAGAATGATCAAAAATAAAAGTAGTGAGACAGAGACAGAAGAAGATATGTAAGAAACAGACAGAAACACATACATCAAATAATTTGGAAGCCATGTTAACCACATCATCTCTCTCATCACCAATTTGCAGGGCATCTCTTAAATTCATTAACTCATCTCTAGCTGCACAAAACCAAAAAAAGGGATCAAGTTTTGGCACAAGAGGTAACAAATGCAATGACTTTTCAAAAAAAAAAAGGACAAATATTTTTTACCTATTCTACTTCTCCTAGCACGTGAGCTTGTAATCCCACTCTGAACACTACTCACTATGTTACCTGAAGCTTGGCTCTGCAGACACAGACAATAATAAAAATCGATCATCCACTCTGTCTTCTTCTTCTAGGTCTAATTCTAAAGCAAGCAGGGTACCTGTCCAGCGGCATTCTTAACGAAAGTAACTTCATCAGAAAAATTGAAGTTTTGCAATATCCTCCCACATTGATCACAAGCCCTACATTACATACAGCATTAAACATCAAAACGAATTGCTCACCAATCATATATATAACTAACTAACTAACAAGAAAGAAACCGAAAAAACACTTACAAAGCACCGCCTTCGGGGCGAAATCCGTCAACTTTCGTCGCACAATGGTTACACCACACCATGGCGGCAGAGGCGAAATCTGAGTGGAAAGGGGGATTATTAGGCTTTCACTTGTATCCGACGGATTCGCCATACTCCTGCTCTTTTTATAACACGCTCGGGTCTAAGAAGAGTACGCGCTAAGTTATTAAAATGAGCCTTAATTTCGCATGATTAAAATTAGCCTGTTTTTCATTTAACTTTAAACAGGCTGAGCCGTTTTATTGAATGGCTCTGTATTAATTCGAGAGAATCCTGTGCAAGTCCACCTATCAAATTTTGCCATTTTTTTTTTCTTTGTCAATTGGTCACTTTGGACCGAATTCCTCAATTTGATATAAGGAGGGGTCGAACCCCTAACACTAGGGTCCGAAGACAGAGTTCAGTTGCCACTTGACTACGAACAACCCGGCTTGCCACGTTATTTCTAATTACAAAATAAAAAGAAAAGAAATCATTTAAAGAATAATAGTTGCAAAACATAAGAAATTAAAAAGATCATTCCAAACACAAGAAAATGTAAATAAACAACTGAAACAACAATCAATAATCATTTTATAGAACATTTTGCTCATTAAATATAAACATTTTATAGAACAAACATGACAATCATTAAACATTAAATAGAAACAAAAGCATACATGATCAAATTCACTAAAACAAAACTTAAGCAACATAGACTTATTTTAACTATACCCTAACTCATTAATGAGTTTCTTCTTCAAAGTTTCTTCATAATCCGCGAGTGGTCTTTGTCTAGCAGTGAGAATCTCCAGTAGCTTGATCTTACACAGCTCATTCTTCATAGACAAATCCTCTTTTTTCATACTCCACATTGTCTCAAACTCTTCTAGATCCTTTCCATTACCAATTGGCTTCCTAAAACGCACTTTTTCTGCCTTAACTCCAGGGGACGAGTTGTTGCTTCATCACCAGTTGTTGCCTTAACACACTTTAGAGCTTGCAGAGTGAGAAACGTCCACACTCTTCCTCTTTTTAGAGCTTCCCTCAGCTTTAGCCGTAGAAAAATCACACCACTTTTGGTCATTACGTAACTCTTTCCAAGCATGCTCAAGCGTGATTTTTTTCTATAATTGGTGAAGAAGATTTCGTGGGCCAGTCTGAGTACATCAGTTTCATTTGGCCCACTCTTTCTCTCTCTGGTCGCAGCTTCATAAGCTCCAAAAAACTTGCAAATGACGTCATTTATATTCTGCCATTGATTCTTACATAGAGATGCCTTTCCCTTTTCACACCGAGCAAGCTTAAGACTCGCGTTGTAGTACACATCAATTCTTTGCTAGAATGAAATAGACCTCTGTTCATTTCCTACTACTGCATCTTTTCTCATGTTTAACCACGAGCTGATGAGCACAATATCGTCAGTTGGAGACCACATCCTCCTCTCTTACGGCTGCCTTGAGTCTCTTCACCAAAGTTCGAATCGTGTGTGCCTTGAATCTCTTCACCAAAGAAGGGAAGCTGCGATTCAGATAGTGAAACACTATCTGGTACATTACCAAATACAACATTCTGTTGACAGCTAAGCAGTTCAACAAAGTTTGAAGTCTGAGTAAAATGATTAAATTCCATTTCTAAGGTTAGAGAAAAAAAAAGATAGGAATCTGTTTGAGATGAAAGAGAATGAATCAGTTTTAAAAGAGTTTTCGAGTTGACTTATATCTAACTCGTATTTACTAGTTGAATAGTCCCTGTGCAAGCGCAGAGCCAGAGACGTTTCTGATGCTTTTGTTTTTGGTATTTTTTTGTTTAGTTTTGTTGTTAAATCTTCTGTTACTGAGCATTTTGTTGGTTTTCATGTGTCTATGATAATGATTGAATGAACTATTGGAAATCACAATTCTTACTTAAGACAATATAAGTATTTGTATATTTGAGGTTAGTTGAATATCTTATATTATAATGATTCGGTTGATCATTTACCGTAGTATTTATCTCATAATCATAGTTTACCAATTTTTTAAGTTGTAATTATACTAATGAAACTGTGGTACTGAAAAGTGTTCTTTTTCCAAATTTAACAACATACACAAACAGTTAATAAACTTTCTTTTAAAAAGTTCATGGGGTTGATTTTGTAACTAAATATTGATTTTTTTTTTGGTGGATACAGTAAAATTTCTACAGTTTCATATATCAAAATAGTCATATATGAAAATAAAATGTAGAACTGAGAAACTAATTTTAGGTTCTTAAATCAAACTTTTTTCTTTTTATAGTGTAATAAAAATGGATATTTTTTCTAGATTAATTTCCGGTTCAATCTTATTCTCTGCATCTTTGAATTTAAGAAAAAAACATTTTTTTGGTTCATCATGTACAATGAAACAAATGTACACACATTCTAAATTTAGTGAAAAAATTATTAAAATGTCTTTGAAAAGACTGAAACGACTCAAATGACCTCCTGAAATAATTCTTTAATGAAAAAGAGTATAAGCGGAGAAACATAACTTGCCAAATGTCAGGAAATGAAAAAGTATATTACACACTGGAGTTATAGTCATAAAAGCCATAACTATAAATAGATGAATTAAAAGGTCAATATAAGTTGTTTTTCCTTGCTTATGTTTCGGGGGATATATTTCTAGTTTTTCCGCTTTGCTTCATTGTTTACCTTCGAAAATCAGTCGTTAAAGCTTGAGAATAACTTCGATGACCAAAAAACCCCATCTCGTATATTTCTTTTATCATAAAACAAACGATCATCAAACTAAGCATATCGAGAGGAGTCTGAGATATATATTAACTTAGAAAAAAATCAAAAGATAACATAACTTCATGCTTAACTATTTTTAATAAGTATCAGAAAACTAATGGCGTCCTAATTTAAATGGCTGAAAAGAATTAAAGATATGTCAAATATTTTTCTTAAGGATATGTCATATATAAATCTGCAATCATGGCATAAATCAGAAGTCGGCCATAAGTTTGTCCTCGGGCCAAATATGGAGAGGTCCAATTTGAAATAGTACAAAGAGAAAATATTGAAGCCCATCGTTAAAAAAAGTAGAAATTTATATTATAATAGGACATTTTCTAGGTCCATATATAAAATTACCCAACAAATAAACATTTTTAAAAACATAGGAGATGTGTGATTCGAACCCATACACTTGCAGAACGAACATTTAGTTTGGCAGCTTTGACTACTCGGCCATGTTTTCATTCATTGTCAAAAGGCACTATGGCAAAATTTTATACTATTAAAACTAAATGTGTGGGGTCCACAAAATGTTGACGTGGCACGCTAAAGAACCTAGAAATTGTACTATTATATATAAGATTACGGTTTCACAACCATATTCAACCACAACTTAAGACAATTCAAACTAAAGCAAATCATTTATTATCGGCAATTCAAAGAAAAGAAACTCATTTAACTTCAGCAAGTTATGTAATTACCTAAAGCAAATCATTTACATCAATGCAAACACACCAAACACATTAACTACCTAACTCAACCATAAAGCTTTCAATGACCTTAAAAGATTCACACATTTACCTGTTTTGATGACGGTAGTTACATAGACTTTCAATTCTCTCTCATTTGTGCGCAAGCGGTTGCAATCCTCTGGTTGCAGACAAGAATCACAAACGCTTCATTGTAGTCATCTCGTTTGACCAACCTTCGTCTCTTGGTCCGTCCATCTGAAGAAACAAAGATAGAGACATATCATTAGATAGAGACATAAACAAAGGCATAGACATAACCGTCTATCTCTTTACCTTTCTTTTTGATTTGGTAGAGGAGATTCATGGCGGAGTCGTCGAGGAGGGAGAGAGAGACGAGGAGAGATCATCGTCGATTTCGTCTAGGAGGTGTCAAGGAGATCGATAGAGGCCAGGAGAGATCATCGTTGAAGAGGCGTCGAGGAGACCGAGAGACACGAACACGATTAAAACATTGATTGATCACGGAGCCGTCGGGAGATCGAGAGACACAAGGAGACATCAGTGCCGATTGATCACTCAGCCATCGAGGTGCACTCGACGAGGAGATCGGTTTCATTTAGAGAGAAGATGGCGGAGTCCTCGAGAGAAACACAACCGACTTATGTTTCGTGAGAGAGTGAGAGAGAGAGAGAGAGAGAGAGAGAGAGAGAGAGAGAGAGAGAGAGAGAGAGAGAGAGATGAACACGGAGTACTGAGAGAGCGACACGTGTTTACTAACACCGCTGTTTCATGCACTTAATTAAGTGGTGATGTTTGTTCAATTACAAAATTTTCTATTTTTTTAAACCAAAAATCACCTAAGCACCTCTTCAAGCCCCGCATTAGTGATGTTCTTATCATCTAGTTCATTTTTTTTGCTTCATTTGTCTTCTGAATTCTTCTCTATCTTGGTGATGGGCCTATACACATTCTTAAGTGTTGGGTTTCGCTCTTTCTGTTAAATACCGTAGTCGATATTGATAGGCTTAAATTCGTATTCTAAGCGCTTTTGTTGATGTATACGCAATCATCAATATGATATTTAATTAAGAGAATAAAAGCTATGCTATTAAACAAATCAAGCCATTAATATAGAGATAAAGATTAGAGAAAAGGATGACTTCCATATTGTAAAGTGTATCGTATATTGATGTACAAAATAAATAGAAACTCTAAAAATTAATAAACACTATAAAGTAATTTTTGTCTATAAGATAATATCTTTTGAAAAATCTAATGTAAGTATATAGTTCTATTAAAATTATAAATTAATATATATATATATATATGTATATTATTGAAGTACAAACAAACCATTCTTTCATTTGTTTAATATTCACAATAAATTTACTTTTATATTTTCTTAACATTAATAGATTTTGATGAAATTTAGTAAAATTATATCTAAATCAAATTTAAATTATATGAAACATATGTTATATACATCAAATAATATGACAAAAAATTTATGAATCTCTCAGTTCAAAATTTTAATTAATACGCTTAAATTCAACTTCTTTTCTTGTTTTAGAAAAAGATGTTTTAAATGAAAATAAAATCTAAATAAAAAACTATTCAAAGTACAAAATTTTAATTAATACACTTAAATTCAACTTCTTTTCTTGTTTTAGGTAAATATGTTTTAAAATAAAAAAAATCTAAATAATAAAAACTATTTATAAATTATTAATTCTATAAACTAACAAAATACCATAATCTCAACATTATCAATACAAGGTGTATAGTCTTAATCCTTCGAGGATTGTATAAACATGATAACAATATGGAAGTGATCCTTATCTCTGATATTTATCTCCATACTTGACTAAAACTATGGTAGCCTAGTAAGTGGTTGATTAGTTAGACCAACTCCATCGGGGGTAATAGTGAAGGGTTCTTCCAAATAAAAGGGGGAAAAATAAATGAAAAAAGAAAAAAACACACAGAACCGCTGCTTTAGGAGAGAGCGGTAGAAGTTGTAATAACCCCATACGTGGTAGGTTCTGATAGGTTTGAAAAACGGTGAGTTTTTGTTTTCTCCTCTCTCTCTCTCTCACACAAATTTCTCACCGACGATTCTTTGGAAATCGATGGTGATAGGTGTGGGGAAGGAGATGATTATCTCTGTCTTCGTCTCTCTGTTCCCGAAGAGTCCTCTCTTCGCCATTGATGTTGTCGATGTTGATTGGTTTCTCCAGAGACGAATCTGTCTCTTTGCCTTCGATTATGACGAAATCTCCAATAGGAGATGAAGGTTGATCTATTTTCTCCCTTTGTCGATCTTCTCTGTGATCTATTTTGATTATGACGAAATCTTCCGTCCATGCAATCCCGTGATAATTTTTTTTTTTTTTGCTCAGATGTTCATGAAAAGTGGTGTGATGGAGATCGATTAGGGAGCCAACGCGTTCAATCTCGACTTTCATCCATCGAAGAATCTACAGAGTCTTCACTTGTCAGGTAATAATAAAACTCTCTTTGTATCTTCAAAGTTTGTTTCTTTTTTGTTGTGGGTCTTGTATAGATAGCTGATTTTTTTGTATTAGGGAGAGTTAAGTTTGTATTGTTGGTTGTTTTGGATTCTGTTGTATTGTTGATTGGTAATAAAAACATTAGTGGAGTATTGACTCTTGGAAAGCTTATTTTATCTGCAGGCTTTCGCAGCTCTCTGATGGATGCCATAGGGAAGTTTCAGCAGAGCAAAGCTGGTGGGATGTTCATAGATTCATGCTTCACTCATTGCCAGACTGTTACGTCAGGGACATGAATCGAAAACAAGGTAAAATCTCTTTGACACACAATCTGTTGCTTTCTTCTTACAGTTGAACTGATCAGGTTTTGTCTCTCTTCTGTTTTGTTATTGGAACTTGGAACAGACAATTGCAGAGTCTGTAGGTGACTTTCTATTTTTGTTGTTTTTGGCAGTGATTTACAGCTTCTCCTCCTCCTTCAATAGCTCCCTCAGCCCCAGATTTCAACGGACACCCTCATCATGTATCTCCATCTACTACTCCACCGCCTGATTTAACTCCCAGTAATGTACACCGCGCATCATCTCCTCCTCCACCTTCATACCATCGACATCATCAAGACCCAAAGAAGATCACAAATAGTCCAGCTCCTTCACCACCACCACAACCAACGCATCTCATAACTCCAAGGAAACCAAAGCGTAAAGGTTTCAACTTTACCATAGCCTTTGAGATACTTGGATTGGCCAGTCATCATCACTCTTCTCATGATCTTAATTCTCTCTTCTTTCTTTGTTTTGTTGTTACAGGTTCAGTGTCTCCTCTTCCATCACCACACCATCTTCGTTCTCCTCCAATTCATTCTTCTTATATTTCTCCTGCTCACCCTCCAATCTCTACCTCAATGGATCATATCTCCATAGCTCCAGCACCTTCTCCTACCCAAGGTTTCATTCCTCCACTTATAATTTTTCCAAATCAAGTTCTAGGTTTATAATAACTTGATTACCGGTAAATTTCGTTGCAGGTAGGCAATTTCTTGCACTATATAAGCCGGTTCATAGCCGGTTTTGCAATCGGATTCTCTAGCGTATGGCAAATAAGTCTTGTCACTCTGTCCATAATCCCTCTCATTGCTTTAGCTGGTGGCATCTACGCGTTCATGGCCATTGGACTTATCGCCCGAGTCCGGAAATCATACATCAAGGCCGGTGAGATTGCTGAAGAGGTTAGTTACTTGTATGACAAGTAAAGTTCATATATTGAAAATCTTAGGTTTTGTGTGTAATTCAAATTTTATGTCCTTTTTATTAAAACTTTTATGTATGTTTTTATAAATCATTCTATTTATAAAAAAAAAAAAAAAAAATAAGAACCCCATAGGGGTTCTCCCATTGGAGGTCAAAAATTTAATTAGCACTAACAAAGGTTCTTAAAGTTTCAAAAGCCCATTTTTATTCTTAAACTAATCTAAAGCACCCATAAGGGGTGTCTATGGATGGACATGCTCTTAGTTAATCAACCAAAAACTGGCACACCTCATTCCACCGGCTTTAACTGACATGCTTCATACAATCACACGTACTAAGGAAAGCATAACACGTGCCACTCAGTCCATTAAAAGAAAACATGATGAATACTTTGGTGGTCTTTTGTGAATCTCCTTTGAAAAATCCAGAGTTGTGTTTTCCTTGGTTACCTACTTCTTTGTTATACATCATTATTATGTAATTTGAGCCTTTGTTTGACCATATTAAACTATAAATCATAGACTATCCACGTATATATACGCATACGTTTCCCGTGATGTTGATATATTTTTGGAGATAAAGTATAGTAATAATCATAAAGATTCAAGAATCTATACTCAATCTCATTGCTTCATCTGTAAACACACACAATACTCTTCTCTATCTCATCTCCTGAATAATTCTGTAATCAGAAGACAAAGAAAGTAAGCTTTTATTAAAGCTTTAGCTTCAGGAAAAGATGATATGCTCTTATTCTAATTAAAAGTCTCCTCTTTCTTCGCTTTTCCACTTCTCCTCCTTTCCTACAACCGTACAAGTACAACCCTCTTTCTCGTCCTAACGTTCAGGTCTGCCTCTATCTTATTCCTGTCTTTTCGTTTTTTTTTAATCATATTTTCTTTGTTTTATTAAATATTATATGACTCGTTTCGCTTTTTCTCTAGGGTGTATAATTAGTTTCGGTCACAAGTTTTGTTTTCATTATCACCTGGTTAAATTAATTTGTTTTCCATCGCCTTGTTCGTCGATCTAAAACGTTTGTTTGTTTTTCTTTTTTGGATTTTTATTTTTTTTGCATCTCTTTCATTAATTATAAGCAGCTTCTAATTCACATGTTGAAGTTGCGTATCCCATCACCAAAGCATTAAATGCGAATGCTTCTGTGAAATGATTCTGACCCTAAACCCATTTATCATCTATTCTCAGCATTAAAGAAGAAAAAGGGAGCGAAGAATATAATACTAATATAAAAGGAGTTTCTTCTGCTGCAAGTTATCTATCTATCATGGGAGATCATTTCGTGTTGTTTATGGATCGGTTGATAACAGAAGCGACGATTGAGGAAGCTATCCAGAGCAGGAACCGTGTGTTGCAAGCTAATGCACCCGTAGAGGATGATGAATGTAGTAGGATTCTCGATGAGAAAACGCTCGAGAAGCTGCGTAATGGAGATTTGAAGATGGTGCAGTGTAAGATTTGTCACGATGAGGATTTGGATTCAAATATGGAGACTCCTTGTTCTTGCAGCGGCAGCTTGAAGGTAACAGACATAATTAATTATAAACACTTTGAGATGAGTTATTGGTTTGATATTAGATGATGAACGTTGTATTTTTTTGTAAGCAGTATGCACATAGGAGGTGTGTGCAGAAATGGTGTAACGAGAAAGGAGACACGACCTGCGAGATTTGCCATCAGGAGTTTAAGCCGGACTATACAGCACCGTCTCCATTGTTAGAGTTGGGTCCTGTTCCTCATCATTTCAGGGGAAACTGGGGAGTATCTCAACGTGATCATCGTTTCATTACAGTTGTACCTACTGATTCTACTTTCCTCGACAATCAACATCAATATCCTCTTTCTTCCACCACAAGCTTCATCTGTTGCCGTTCCTTTGTTCTCATCGTACGTACGCATACCACGGCTCCTCTTTTTTCTTTCACAACAGACCTTTACTCATGTGTTCTGTTTACATTCTGCAGTTCATGGCTCTTCTGATTCTCCGACATACCCTCCCGTTAGTCCTCACTGGTTCAAACCTCCATGTTTTCCCTTTGTTCATGGTGAGACTATTGCTCTTTATTTATCTCAAGACATATCTCATGGATTTTATTAGGCCTGCTGTTTATATCCCAAACGGAACTAACCAAAATTTCGGTTAGTTCGGTAAGGAGTTCGGTTCAATTCGGCAGATTTATAAAAATACTTCGATTCGGTAATCAGTTGGTACAATTTTTCAAAAAGTAAAATAAAATTTGTCAACTAAATTTCGAATTGAACTAACCGAATTTAACCAAAATTTTGAACCAAACAAACTTTGTCCACTTAATCAAATTTTTAATCACAATATAAATCTAAAACCAAAAACTTCAGTTAGTTTCGGAAATTATTTTTAAAACCGAATTATCCAAATACCAAACTGAACCGAACCAAACCAAATTTTTGGTCGTGAATTTCGTTGCTTAGATTTAATGATGACAACCTAATTGTTTATTTTGGTTGTTCAGTTGTTGTTTCTGAGAGTTCTTGGGATCATGCTACCAATCTATGTTGTCACCAAAGCAGTCGCCACCTGTTGCCGCCATTCACAGACGACCTTAGAAACCTCCGACTCTGAAGATTCATCTGGTGATGAAGAAGCAGATTTATGGAGTTTGCCTGAAACGCAATCTTACATTATAGAAGTGCCATGAGCCATTTGTTTATTTCCTTTCACATGCACAGTGTCTCTGTAAATATACTCTTCTCACTTGTACATGTAAATTGTTGAATTGGATTTTAACAGATTGAACCAAAGTAAAAAGTATCTAATTACCAAAGCTCTCTTCTCATCCAGAGTAGTCTTCCACAACAACTCTAACCATTGTGGTCGGATAGAAATTATATTTAAGATTTCTATGAAAGATCCCAACACTTGCAAGAGTCTATGTGTATTACAATATTAAGAGGAAGAATCTGTACACTCTTTGAAAATCAGAGACAAAAGATAAAATGAAAGGACCTAAAGCAAGCAACTTTGGGATCTCAACTCCAAACAAAAAGCCTTTGTGTTTTTGTTGTCTGCTAAGTTATGGAAACATAAAGAACTCAGCTTCTAGTAGTTCAGTTCCAGCTTCTCCTCGGCCTGAAAAAATAAAAATGGAGTCAAGGGGTAAGCAAAAACATGAGTAGCTATTATTAGATCTATATAGAGAGATAGAAGTAATACTTTCGGTTCTTCTGCTGCGTCCTCCAGTAACAAGCAAGTGCCCCAAATGCACAGCTGGCGACGGCTATTGCCAACGCAGCTCCAACCGGCACAACTAGAGCATTGGTGGCTACTGTCAATTCTTCCGCGGCTGAGATGGTCTCTTCCTTGCTCCCTACGACACTCTTTTCCTTGTAAAGGGAGACAAGCTTAGGCCCATAGTAATCCTTCAAGAACTTGTAGACATTATCATGGTCCCACTCTATGCTTTTCTCGTCACCAGAGAGATAGCAGGATGGGCAAAGCTCTCTTGGTGGCCATATGATCTTAGGGAACTCGGGGTCACCAGTACTGAGAGAAGCTTCGTCCTTCATGAGTCTCTCGTTGACCTTGTTGTGCGTGCTCCATACCCACAAGACGAAGTCACGCGCCTTCTTGAAAGGAGTTTTTACACTGTCCAAGAAACACAATAGATACGTGGTTAGATGAGCAAAGACAGCAATTCATTTGAGCAGACCAGAACAATGTTACCGTAAGCACATGTCATTGAAATGCAGTCTACATTCATCACACATGAAGAAGTTGTTGACGAAATCACATATTGTGGTGAATGCGAATTGGCTTTCTCCATCCTCAATCCTCACGGAAAGTGAATGAAATAGAACCCATAATCCGCAGCTACAATCAATCATTTGAGGAATACTAGTGAGCCAAACTGAACTTAAGGATCATAGTATACAAATCGAATAAAGTACCTGAATCCACGAGTATCATTCCTACTACCACGGCAAAACATCTGCCAAAATGAGACATTAGGACAATGAGATATCTAAAGTGGATTATACAGGAGAAACAGTAAGAGAATTGCTAGCAAGCACTCACGTAATATCCACGTGGAACATCCTTTCCACAAATAGGGAAGCTTCCAAGGGTATCTTTCCCTCCAGATGATGCTTCATAAGAGCATTTTCCAGAAGGGCATACGTCATCATAGTTCACCAAAATCTCTGCAGCTCCCTTCCGACACCTAGATTATAAGATACAGACAGTGCGGCAAAAGGGTTACCATCGAAACCCATATGCATACATTAGGACGATGAGAGTTTGATTTACCTCTTGGAGGCATGATGTGCTGCTAAAAGCTGAATAAATCTAATAAATGACGCACTTGTTTCAGATGATTTAATGATCTGTGGATACAAAGGAGCTACTTGTTGATCACCGAAAACAGAGGGATGGATAAAAGGTTATACAAACACACACAAAATCAAACGGATTAATCTACCTTGTTGGATAAAATTATATCAAAAGCTTCTGCGGCTGCTTCCTCAATGTCATACACAGCCTGAGAAATCTGTGACAAATCAAGCTGTTAGATCTTAAAAAAAAACGCTACTAGTATCAGCAAAGTTAGTCAGAGAGCGGTCTCAAAACCTGTTTGTAGTCGGTTATATTTGTCCGGACATGTTCATTTTCGAACTTCTTATCATCCAAACCATAAGAGCTACAAAATATCGAGAAACGAAACATAGATAAGTGGCAAAGTAGCTCAGGGAAAATATAGATAGGCTTCACAAAGTTTTTTTTTCAGATATACTTCAACAGATGCTGAAGATACAAGTCGAATGGCACAAACCTTTGTGTCTGCTTGTTAATCCATTTCAGCAACCTCTCAGCTGTGCGGCCATCATCGATAACAACTATCTCGCTCTTCTCCTTTTTAGGTTCCCCACTGCCAGAGACAAACTTCGTAGGAGGACCCCAAAAGAGCATTGGGTAATGAGAAATAGAGAACCTATCACAGAGCTTGGTATTCGTCTGCACTGCCGGAAAAGTCATAATCAGAAACAGTGAATCAACACAATCCACTCATATCTAAAATGTAAATTAGGAACATGAAGTAAGTACCTTCATTGCACAATCAACTCTCGTCATCAAAACGATTCCAGGATGAATTGCTTCTGGTCCATTAAAGAGCCTAGCAACCTTCTCATAATGAGGCTGTAGAATAGTAACAGTTTTAGCCAAAGAAAACCTCCAGAGAACAACGCAGTGGAATAGTTATTTTACCTTATAGTTTCTGCAAGCAGGACACCTAGAAATAATCACGTAAAACAATACACACATCATCAATACATCAAACATACAAACTCTTTACATACACATCTACTAGTAGTAGTAATGAGTAGAAGCAACGAATAGTATTATGATAAAGTTAGATTATTTTCTACGCTAGATCCAGTACCCACCAACCAAAACTGTAACTTTCATCCTAAGCAATCGAATTGAAGTGATCTAGGGTTTGGGATATTGGAGATTTACTGACCAGTGAGCGAAGAACTCGACGATTGCATACTTGGCGGGGGTGTCTCGAAGAACCGAATCGAAGTTGGAAGAGTTCAATTCGACAGCTCTGTCTTTCTGATCGGAGTTGTCACCGGAGATATCTCGGAGAATCGAGCGTGAGCCCGGAGAATAAAGAGAAGACGCGGGTGTTATTACAAGGCTGAGTAAACCGGAGAACAGAACCAGATGTGCTAAAGACATCTAATCGAATCGGAGGAGTAAATAATTCAACAGGAAAACTCGGAGATTCCTAAGTTTGGCGTTAGGATTTAGAGAGAGAGAGAGAGGAAGGAAAAGACCAGAGACCAGCGAAGATCTAATACAAAGCTTCTTCCCTCCTCGACTAATGAGAACTGAAGATTTGTGTAATAGAAGCTTAGAACGACGACGTATGCTTAACCAATCATTGAACTCGGTGACTTTTGTCTTCCTTAATTTTATAATGGGCTTTATTCGTGTTACTTTAATGAGTGTTTGGGTCGTACTGGGCCGTATGGTGGTATTACGGAAGCTAAGAATAAAGTGAGATGGATGGCTAGTGTCCAGCAAAACGGGCAAAGGTATGGTACTACAGAACCTATCTCTTTGGGAGGACCAACGGAGCTTGGTGTGATATAAGACGAGAGAGTTAGATAAGTTTTTGTAAAATGATGTATTAAGTGCAATTTTTGCAGATTATAAGATTGCAAAGCTTGTAAAAAATTTAAGAGTTTTGTAGACATACATCTATGATGGTCGTGTACCAAAGAGAGAGTTTTTCAACCATACGGCATCTGAGTGTCACGAAGGAAATTACATCGTAAAATTGTTGTTCGTTAGATTGTTTTACATTATCGCATTTGTTGTACGCAATTGATCATCATTTATAATAGAAATTGAGATTATATAACGATTTACTTAACAATACGATCAGTGTTTAAAAACAATAGATTAATTACACGAAAGTAATTAGGAAGCTGTTAAAAGGGAGGAGACGCTCGAGAGACTAGATGTGATTGTAAAAACATGGATCGAACAAACCAACCGCTACAAAGGGTTGAATGGCTCGAGGTGTCAGGTTAAAAGCTTCTTCTTGGTTTATGGGAAGCAAGGATTTTGTATAATATGGTGTTTCTTAGATGTTAAAAGCAAGTTTGAAGATATATATATATTTTTAATTCAAAACTCGTTTTGATCAGAATCATAAGATCTGAGCTAATTAACAAAGTTAAAGTAATTTTGTTTAAATAATCCCCACGTCTACTCCATTTCTTCTTCGTATAGTTTTCATCATGCAGCAAGCAATTGCTTCTTTTTTTTATTAATCAGTTGTTTTAAGTCATCAAGGTACGGCAAAAAGAACACTATAATGTGTCGGTCATGTGCACATGACATCCCCCCTCGTAATAAAATATATCTAAACTGATAAATTAGCCGGTTACTGCAGAATGCAGATTCACGTGTACATGAGATATTTTAGGAGTGATTAACATCACTTGTCTTAAAACCCCTCTCAATCTCCTGTAATAATCATAAATCAAAGCGTGACCTCAAGAGTAACCAATGTCCGTGTTATATTAATTATTGTTGTCAATGTCTTTTTTTAAAAGGTTGTCAATGTCTTTCACCAAAATGAAAACACATTAATGGGAGGCCACCTACATTAATGTAGTAAAACGCACATGCATTATAGTTGAAGACTATATTTTTACAGTTTCACTCACCAAAACCACATTAACCAAAAGATGTTAAGAAAAAGAACTTAATATATTCTTCAACATTTTGAAGATTATCTATGAAGAGAAAAAGGAACAAAAGCTTACAGCCTTTCTTTTTTTTTTCCTCTTCTTTTGCTGAATTAAAAAAGAATTTTATTAAGTATATGCCAATTTGCCATTTTTTGCATCTTGTCAGCACCCAGTATCCACCATGAATTTAAAAAAGCTTAAAGTGGCTTTTGGTTTATCCTTTATTTGCAATATTACTCCTCTCATAACCCAAATGATTCGTTTCCTCCCATTATGATAAATGTTTAACAATTACAAACCACAGATTCAAGCGAATTTGTACCAAATTACCAAATGGTATAAATAATAAATTAATAGGGGCTTATGTGTTATTACACTCTCTTGTCTCTCTCTCTTCCAAATAAGAACCAATCTTCTTCTCCTACTTTCTCCTCCTCATTGACTCCATTTTTGAAAAAACTCCTGATTTTCTTTTCTTTTACCCGAATCTCATACTCTCTCCCATCCTTTGGATTCCCTCTTCCACTAATCCTCGCCTCCTTAATCGGACCTTCGAAATCTCCTTTTCGGGAAGGTCTCTTTAATTCAATTCAAACTCCCAATCGATTTCAACTTTCTTGGAATCTCCGTCTTCTTTCTTCATCGGAGACACCTTTGTCGTGTTCATATCAAACAGTTCTCACTGTGTTTCCTAGTTTTCCATCGTGAGACGAACTCGTAGGCTTTTTTTTTTTTTTTGTTGGGAGATGTTGGGAGCTGGATGTCAGTTGACGAGAGGACGACACGGAGAAGACCATTTTTACAGCTCGGTGAAAGGCTCTCGTAAGCCTAATCACCGCAACGACCAGCTACTACGGAGAGCTCAAAGCGACGTCGTATCTAATGGCCGATCAGCTAACCCCAAGCAACACCGAGGATCCGAGAACGAGTCTCCTTCTGGGCCGAGTAATCTGGAACGGTTCTTAAAGTCCGTCACACCTTCTGTGCCGGCCCAATACTTATCTAAGGTATTGTTTGAACATGTCAATTACATTTTAGAAAAAAACAATAAAAAAGATTCGTTTCTTTATGACGTCACGTAATGATGATTGTAATCTATGCAGACGTCGTTACGTGAAAGAAAAGCTGATGGTGACGATAATGTTCCGTACTTTGTGCTTGGAGATATTTGGGAGTCGTTTGCGGAGTGGAGTGCTTACGGGGCAGGAGTGCATCTTCTTTTGAATAACAAGGATCGTGTTATTCAGTACTATGTGCCTTCCTTGTCAGGGATTCAAATATACGCTGATATTCATGCCTTGAGTTCAGCGCTTAAAGCAAGGTAATGTATTGTCTATGGAGCCTGGTGAAAGTTTTTTTAATGTTGGCTTTTGTAACATATTACTATGGCAGGCGGCCAGGTGATGGTAGCGATGATTCAAGTAGCGATGTTAGCACGGATAGTGATTCGGAACGGGTTACTGCTAGGATGGACCATCTTGAAGACTCATCTAGTGATGATGGTGAACGTTTAGGTTCTCAAGGTCGTTTGATGTTTGAGTATCTTGAAAGAGACCTTCCTTACATCCGTGAACCTTTGGCTGATAAGGTTTGTGCGCTACTTTTTTTTTTACTAGAATCTTACTTTTAGAAATTTATGAAAGCATGCTGAAGATACTAAACAGTAGAATGAACTCTATTAGATTCTCTAAAATTTACAATTTTGGTAGATGTTATCTGCCCTTTATATCATTGTTGTTGTCAACTAAGTTGTATTCTAATGCGGTCTGCTCGTTTATGTGGGTCAATTGTTGGCTATCGCTAATCAGAAATGTTCAGTTTGGTCAGAAACTGTTATGGTCATCATCGACATAAACCAGACCTCATTCTAAGCTCACAAGACATAGGAACTTGTGTGAGTCTGTTGCTCTGGCTCCTCATGACTGACTGTTGCCTATGTTTCATTACAGGTCTCTGACCTGGCTGCACGGTTTCCTGAGCTGAAGACGTTAAGAAGCTGTGACTTGCTTCCTTCAAGCTGGTTTTCTGTGGCGTGGTATTGTTATTTGTACTTTGAGTGCAGTTTCTTTCTGCCACTATCCTGTCACGCTTCTGAGAATCCATTATATACTTTGCAGGTATCCAATTTACAAAATACCTACAGGACCTACAGTTAAAGACCTGGATGCTTGCTTCTTGACTTATCACTCTCTTCACACACCGTTTGCAGGTAAAACGAAACTTTCATTCTATTAAGACAAGCAACCCTTAGATTTACACGGCTGCAATCATCAAGAGAACGTTTGCTTAGAACTTTATATAATCAACATGGCTAATCTGCTTGACTGAATCCATTTTGTTCCTATATTGTAGTGACATGTATCTAGTGTAGGATCATTGCACTATTGATCACTTTGACAAACATAACTATGTGTGGTGATGAGAAGAGTTTCAGACGGTTGCTTGGTTGATAGATCTTAATCACAGCGTTTGGCTTTTGTAGGTCCAAGCAGTGCACAACCAATGAGCCTTATGCAGCCCATAGAGACTGAGAATATGTCATTACCTGTATGTGGGCTCGCTTCATACAAGTTCAGAGGTTTTGTATGGACTCAAAATGGAGGCTCTGAGCACCAGCTAGTAAACTCTCTCTTCCAAGCTGCTGACAATTTGTTGCGTTCATGTCATGTTAGCCACCCTGATTTCCTCTTCTTTTGCCGCCGCTGATATGATAACTTTTAGTACAATTTAAAGAAAAAGGAAGTTTCTCTATAAGGAACAGCCAAAATGAAATTTGTGAAAACATTTTTAGTGGTTCACAAAGAGTTTGAATATTAAACTCAAACTGCTGTTGATGGTTTACGACGTACTCACTTCGTTTCGAATTACTGGTGTTCTAGACAATTTTAATAGACAATTTTACGTAGATTAAGAAAAGTAATTATTTGTCTATTATACCTTTATCAATCAAATTTATTTACAAGTTTAATTGTATGTTTTAGTATTTTAAATTAGTAGTAAAAAATAATTCCTGTGTATAATATTTATCTTTTACCATTCTTCACCAAATTATCTTTAATTATTAGTTGAATGAGTCAATTACATTGACTATGTACTCTTGTTACTTCAATGTATTTAGAGAAAAACTAAATTTTTTAGATGTCTATAACAAATAATAAAATAGTGGAGGCAAGTAGTATGAAACCAATGAGCCTTGTGCAGCCCATAGCCCATAGAGACTGAGAATATGTCATTATCTGTATATAGGTTCGCTTCATACAAATTCAGAGGTTTTGTATGGACTCAAAGTGGAGGCTCTAAGAGCATGTTTATAGGGAAATCCCTTAAGTGGTCCTTAAGTGGCCAAATTGATTTTTAAATGATTATTCTAAAGCTAAGAGACATTATTAAGATACACACAATTTTAGTCGTTTATAGGTAGTCTCTTAATTAAGGTTCTTAACAATAAAATAATATTAAACTAAAATTTAAACATAATCTTTTTTATAAACTAAAATTTATTTATTAAATAAAACAAAGTCAAAACATAACATTTTAAACATAGATTATAAAAAAACATTGAAAATAAAGATAACTAAAATAAACGATAATAATTTGAAAGCGCCATCCAAGTTCAGTTGTTGCCTTGATCACGTCCAAATTTACGCCATATATGTTCAACCAAATCACGTTTTAGTCGCTCATGCGCTTGTTTATCACGAAGTTTTATTCGAACACCCATCTGATTGGCGATGCTTGTCGGGGTATCTGTGGAATACGTGAGATCGACATGTGAACTTCTGCTGCCTTCACCTTGTTGGAAATCTGAAACATCGTACTGAGTTTGTTGATCTCGTTCATTTTCTACTATCATGTTATGGAGTATGATACATGCTCTCATAATCTTCCCGATCTTGAATTTATCCCAACAAAGTGCCGGATTTTTAACAACGGCAAATCGAGCTTGCAAGACTCCGAAAGCACGCTCGACATCTTTTCTGACAGCTTCTTGACATTGAGCAAATAAAGATGATTTTGGATCTTGTGGTAGTGAAATAGATTGGATAAAAGTTGCCCATTTCGGATAAATACCATCGGTGTGATAGTAAGCCATTGAATAAGGATTTCCATTCACCGAGAAATTAACTTTCGGAGCTCGACCATTTATAATGTCATCAAAAACAGGTGAGCGATCAAGAACATTGATATCATTTAAGGTACCTGGAGATCCGAAAAAAGCATGCCATATCCAGAGATCATATGAAGCAACCGCCTCTAAAACGATTGTGGGTTTTCCCGAACCACGAGTATATTGCCCTCTCCAAGAGGTCGAACAATTTTTCCACTCCCAATGCATACAATCGATGCTTCCTATCATCCCGGGAAATCCTCGAAGATCTCCAATATGAAGGAGACGTTGAAGATCATCCGACGTTGGTCTCCTTAAGTACTCATCCCCGAACAAATCTATTATTGCTTCCACAAAATTTTCCACACATAACCGAACCGTGCTTGCACCGAGCCTGAGGTATTCGTCGACCGCATCAAGCGCAGAACCATATGCCAAGACACGAATAGCTGCTGTACACTTTTGAAGTGTAGAGAGACCAAGTCTTCCGGTAACGTCGGTCTTCGGACGAAAGAATGGAACTTCATTGGAAAGGCGATTAACAATACGCATGAATAATGATTTATTCATTCTAAATCGGCGTCGGAACAGATTTTCTGTATACGTTGGAGTGTCACTAAAATAATCATTCCATAATTGGATATCACCTTCTTCACGTTTTCTTTCGATAAGAACCCTTTTTTTTCTTGTCTTCTTTTCAAATTCTTGATCACCATCAACCACATTGTCGAATGTTTCTTCAAAAGTCTCTTCAATAATTTCTCCAACAGTTTCATCAAAAAATTGATTGAAAGTTTCATTAATAGAATCATCCAAATTGTGATGATAGGAAGAAGCCATGAGAGATTTTTTTTTGAATTCTTGTTTAAGAAATATAAGATGGAGAAAACGTAAGCTGAATGAGAGTTTGATTTTTTGATAGAGAAGAATGGTTTCTGATATATAGACTTTGAAGAAGTGTCTGGTGACATAAGTTTACAACAAACAAAAAAATTAAAAAAAGACATACATGTGACACAAGTGTACAAAGTCACACTACTTTACAAACTCTCGTGACACAAGTTTACAAAGCCACCACTCAATAAACACTGGTGAGTGAGTGACACAAGTGCACAAAGCCACCACAACAAAGCTGCCTCTACTTTACAGAACTCTCGTGACACAAGTGTACAAAACCACAACTCAATAGACACCCGTGACACAACTCTCCTTGTATGCCTCTTTGTATGTCCCTGCAATATAATAAAGAACATTGCATTAACTTAAAAAGAAACAGAAACCATAGAAACATAAACATGAAACAGAGAAACATAAACATAAACTTAAACATTTTATAAATAAACTGGAAACAGAAACATAACATTAACTTGAAGCAGAAACATAACACTAACTTGAAACAGAAATATAACATAGACTTGAAACAGAAACATTTCTTAACTTGAAACTTAAACATGACTTAAACATAACTTAAACTTCAGAACAATTTACTGCAAAGCTTCTTCTTTAGGACTTCTTCGTAGTCGGCCAGTGGGTCTTTTCTTCCCATGAGACTCTCAAGGAGACTGAGCTTAGACAATTTCTCTCTTTTTTCAATGAGACCATCAAGCAGAGTCAGCTTAGTAAGACTACTCTCATTTACCGTCTTCTTCGCACTCATCTTTGCGGCCTTCACACCAGGAGGACGGCTGTGGTCAGTCGCTTGAGAGCACTCTGAATCTCCACCGTCATCACCTTTTCTTTTCTTCAAGCTCCCTTTTTTTTTGCCCGTAGCAAGTTCACACCATTTCTGGTCGTGCCTTAGCTCATTCCATGCGTATTCAAGATTAAAATGCTTATCTTTGTTGTTGGTCTCGTAGATCTTGTGAGCTCGATTCAGAACATCATTGTCATTCTGGCCGCTTGTTCTCTCTCTACAAGCCGCTTCATAAGCTCCACAGAACTTGGAGACAGAGTCATTGATCCTATGCCATCTTTGTTTGCAGTGTCTTGCCTCTCTCTCCTCTAAACCAACAACCAGAGGACTTGCTGCAAAGTAGGCAGCAATCCTACTCCAAAAGCCGTCGGATTTTTGAAAGTTGCCCACCACAGGATCCTTGCTCGTGTTTAACCACGAGCTGATCAGGACAATATCATCCGTTTGAGTCCATTTGCGGCGTAAGACACGCTCTGGTGCACCATTCCCACCAAAGTTTGAAGATTCGGTTCCTACACTTCCTCCTAATGGAACACTATCTTCAAAGTTACCAAAGGAAATTGTTTGTTGACTAAGTAATTCAACAAACTTTGAATTTCCAGAGGAAAGAAAAGAATCCATATCACAAAGAAAAGATAAGGAGAAAGGTGAAAGAGAGAGAGACTGAAATGGTTTGAGGTGAGAAACATAGAACGCGTTGGAGGGTTAAATGGATGTTAGAGAAGGATCAAGTATTGATCACAACCATAACCGACTTGACGTCTACCTAATTGCATTCATCACACAACACTATCGAGTTGACATCTACCTAATTGCATTCATCACACAACACTGTCATCACACATTTAGCTGAGATCTACCTAGTAGCATTCATTTCAGTCTTAACCATAAACTGTATTTATTATCTAACCTAACAAAAACTGTAACTAAAGTTTCGTTACTTTAAGAGTGAAGACAGATGGAATAAACAAACACACAAGAGTTGTCAATTTAAACAAACAAACAAACTGCTCGTGTATAATAACCCGAACTCAACCAAATACTACCTTAAATGTTTTTGTCCTAACAAGAACCATTATACATGTTCAATCTTAAGAAAAGAAACCATAATTATATTCTACTTTACTCAACAGATTTTCATTATCATTAGTTCAAAAATCATTTCAAACAATAATTCAAATCATCACCATTAGCAACTTAAATCACAATCACATTTCAATCTCAATCCACTAAAAACAGAATGAAACGTTTATACATTTATAAAGATCAAAGAGAAGGTACCTTTAAAATCTTGGCGGTTTTATCATACAAATCCTCAGGCTTTCTCGCCTCTACATCAACCCTGGATCAAGCTCCTTCATCCATCCATGTAGCGACACAAACACAGAAAACAAATAAAGGAAAACTAATCAACACTTTACCTTGAGAAAACTAAAATCAAAGACATGCAACAATCAAAGAGAGAGGACTCAAGAGACCCATCACGAGAGAGAGAGAGCCGTTTACCTTCGTCGAGGGACACAAATCAAGATCCACCGAGGGAGAGAGGAATCGGGATCCACCAACAGAGAGAGGAATCAAGAGAGGAGTCTACAGAGAAAACTAAAATCAAAGACATGCAACAATCAAAGAGAGAGGAATCAAGAGACCCATCACGAGAGAGAGAGCCGTTTACCTTCGTCGGGAGAGAGGAATCGGGATCCACCAAAAGAGAGAGGAATCAAGAGAGGAGTCTACAGAGAACCAAGCAAGAGAGAACCAGAGAACATCGGAGAAGAGAGAAGAGAGAAAATAGAGTTCGGAGACGGCGATGATCCGACATCGACCAAGATGGCGAAAAAATCGCCCTTTTCGTCGCATGCAGAGAACATCGGAGAAGAGAGAAGATAGAGAAAGAAACAAAACCGAAGTGTGGCTTCCACCGAGTTTCAAAGCCCTCTCCTTCTGACGCGTGGCGTTAAGTAACGCTCTCCTATGTCCCTTAATTAAGCTCCGTGCCTTTGCTTTAAACCAACTTTTCCTATTTTTTTTTTAATTAATTAAGCTAAGGGACACACTTAACAAACGCCTATAAACATGCTCTAAGCACCAGCTAGTAAACTCTCTCTTCCAAGCTGTTGACAATTTGTTTCGTTCATGTCATGTTAGCCCCCTGATTTCCTTTTCTTTTGCCGCTGCTGATATGATAACGTGTAGTACAATTTTTAAA